CTCTCCACCAATCAGACTCGAGGCTCCAGCTGATCTCTGGTCCCACCATGGCTGGGGGCCAAGGCAGGGGAGGTGCAGTATGAGACAGCCAGGTGCTGCAGGTTGGTGTGCACAGGACAGCCTAGGGTAGGATGGGGCTGCATAGCTAGTGAGCAAAACTTTGTTTCATTACTATAAATATTATGTACAGTTTAGTACATGTTATCTAGTGCACATGTTGAAAAATTTCTCTAGAACATGATTTCTAAGGAAAGATATTTCTAAGTTATAAGTCAATCTTCAACTTTACTAAATGATGCCAAATGGTTTGCTAAAATAATTTATGTAATTTGAACATAATATATCCTCTACCTCGATAATGATTATGTGTTATTCTGTAATTATGTTGCTTTTGTTCTTGCTTTGCTTTTCTCGAGTCTGAAATATTCCTTTTAATCTCAGTTCTATTACTCTATCATCTTTTCTCTAAATCCTTGTTTTATTTTGTCTATATTCTCTTTGCTTATTTATTCTTTTGTACTTTCTCATTTTATTTGTTCCTTGCAATAGTACCTGAAAAATAGGTACTATTATTATTCCCATTTTATAGGTAAAGAAATAGAATTCCAAGTCATTGTGTGTCTTGGCCACAGTCTTACAGTTAGTAAGTAAACAAGCCAAAACTAGTACCCAAGTCTTTCATCTCCACAACTCTACCTTTTCCCATTGCTTTGAAGTAGACTATAATTAAATACTATATTGTCTCTACAATGACCATTTATATACCTAACCCTGAAGTGAACCCCACATCTTTAAAATAAAATTTTTAAAAATTAAACTAAATGTAATTGAAAAGTGCTACATTGTGGAATACAGCCTCTAAGACTAATTCAACTTCCAAACTGAACAGGGATAAATAAACAACAGATTGATAACACATGTAACTTAATGAAAACTCTCCCAAATGCCACATAACAGGTGAAATCACTGCCCTGATCTATCTTGGAACTTGTCGTGGTGCCTAAAAAAATGAATTCTACTGTTGTCATCACCTAAAGTGTGAGTGTACACATGTGTGCTTTAAGCAGCTGATACACATGACAGAACTATTGTCATAGCGTTTAGAAACCCAATTTAATAACAAGAAAGCAAGATTAAAGCAAGAATATCGTGTGGGTTTACTTGTGTCTTGATGGTATGTGGAAAAAAGAAACTTTATTTGGAATCTCCCTGCATCCTGAACTCTTTTTTCAAATTTTCTTTTATTTTAAAGATGTGGGGTACAATTCAGTATTAGGTATTCAAGTGATCATTGTACATGTAAAGTTTGGGCCTCCCTTTTGTCCCCACTTTGCCTGATTTGAGATCCATCCTGAACTTTTAGAGAAGGACCAGGTCACCCAGGGAAAACCTGTGAAGCAATGGATGTGACGGAGGGGGGAGATTTCCTCGAGTTAGGGCCCTTTTCCACTAGTTGGAGGGACATAGTGCAGTTCATTTATTCCTGGAAAGAATATCTCTACTGAGCTGCAGTTTTGGAAGAACAGCACATGAAATAATAGGCTGACAAAAAATTATCTGTACTGAGAATATTGTAAGTCAAAGATGAGGGGAGACAGCAAGCCTGACTCACAGAATAGAGTCTTAAATCTGGAAGTAGCTGCTCTTGTATAACAGCTATTACTGGTTGAGTTTATGTCCTATTTTCAAATAGCTTTGTAAAGAAATTATAATCGAACTTTGGATTATCAAAGAACTATTCTTATTGTTTCCTAAAGATTGATCTGGGGAGAGAAAAATGCATTCAGTGAAAAAAAAATGCAAAGAATTCAAATAAGTTTGGATGTCTTTGATTTAACCAAGCCAACAGTTACCTTTTCTGCAGAATCCCCCAAAGCCATTAATATGCTAATGACTCCAAATTTGTAAGAATGATGTATATTACAAAGAAGTTCCAAAGTATTTGATCATGAAACCCTTATATTTTATTGACTCCTGGAACATATTTTGGGAAATTATGCTATCTTCTAATCATAAAATATTAGAACTGGAAGGGGCCTTAAAACAATTCATTTTAAACCCGAAGTCTGCAAGGAGTAAAACTGAAATTTAGAGGATTGAAGTGATGTCTCCAAAGTCACACAGCTCACTGATGGTAAAAGTAAAATTCAGTTTCTTGATCCAGTGTCAAATTAATCAAAAGTAGATGGAGTCACAAGGTGCAATCACCTGCAGGCAGGCCTGTTTGCTCCCTTCCAGGCATGTGGCTTGTTTTTCTTTACCAATGGAACCCAAAATTTCCCGTCTGATAATTCACAAAATTCTGTCTCTGAAGCACTATTATATCTCTGATCTCCCTGTAGATTCAAGAGTCTGGGATTATTCTTTCTAAATTCTGCATATAAGGCTTATGTCACACTCACTTGAGTATTTTATCATATTGATCCCTCTAGTTAAAAAAGAAAAGCATCCTGTTCCACGTTGATGAGTCTGTGGGAAAAGGCAGTTTCATACACTGAAGTCATTTGGACAAACTCAGACCCCATACACAGAATTGAGAAAGGGTTTAAAGGAAATAGGGGGAACTGTCTTCCCAGGTTTAATTGCATTATTATTTGTCAATAGACTATTATAATAAAGAGAAATTTGAAATAACCTGAATGCCCAATAATAGGGCATGCCCAATAAATAAATCAGTGCACCTCTAAGAAACATTATAGATCCTATAAAAGTTATGTTGTAGAACAATTCATGAAAAGATGTCTAAAGCAGAGCTTTCCAACAGTTAGCCAGGTACTGAGATATTGATGCCTTTGCTCTTGTGGTGGCTAGTCAGGGTCTAGTGTAGCCAGAGTCCCCAGTTCAAATGTCTTCAACTGCAAGCAACCTTTTGTCACTCAAGTGTACCATAAAATTATTGATTTTTAAAAAAAAATATGTGTCATTATGTTTTTTAAAAATTCAGAAAACTCCCCCTCCCCTCCCTTGGGGAGGTGAATCTCCTCCCTCTCCTTCTCTGCTCTCTCTCATTTGCTTTCTAAATAAATTATATTTTATAATCTTAAAAATAAATAAATAAATAAAAGTTCAGAAAACTGATCTAAACATATTGCATGAAAAAATATCATGAAGTATTATTACATTGAAATTTAAGACACACTCAAATATCATCTAGGGACTATACTCTGCCAACATTGAATGATGGGAATACCAGTAATTTTTATTTTTATGTTTTTGCTTGTCTGTATTTCTCTTTTTTAAATAAAATATTCCTTAATAATAATAATATAATAATTTTAATGCTTACATATATACCTTTTAATATGTCTTATTTTTGTTTGATCCTCAAACAAACCTAATTTTTTTTTTAATTTCAGATTTGAAACTAATAGGAATTGGACAGGTTGTTGCAGGCAGGAAGTAAAAAGTGGGAATGAGACCTATCTGAAAGGTAGAAATAAGAAAACGCAATAACAAATTATCTTTGGGAACTAAGAATACCACCAGGACATTGAGGATTGTGGTATTAGAGACCAAAACAAAATTATGGAAATACAATATTTTACAACGATTTTAGGGACAAACTTAGAGGAATGATTAGTGTTCAGGAAGTAGCTGAGTTTGGATGCTAATTTTGAGGAGATGGCAGAGCATATTGGTTGGAAGTGTCCCAGTGGTTGTTGAAACTCAGGTGAGAGAATAAACCTGAAGATGTAGTTTGGATCTACAGGTGCAATGGAGCTGTGCAAATGACTTGACTTTCCTGGAAAAAGAATGTAGAAGAAAAGCAGAACATTAAAAACTTTAATCTTTGGACCTTGTCTCCACAGAACTCCCAGGAACTAGGACTTTTGTGTGGGATGATGATAGAATGGAATTCCAAGAGTCCTTGGGCCTGAATGAATGTTGCCAATAAATGACATGTTCAAATAGTTTTCTTTACTGTTCTTTCTTATATCAGAGCTTACTTGATTTTAAAACATAAAGTTAAATAGAAAAGACATTAAGATTATAGGGCGTGTGTTGGTGAGCAGCACTCTAGAAGACAGGATTAAATGTAAAAGACACCCTAGCCATTAGAAGAAGTAATTTGAAATTGAGAAGTTTCAACTGAATTATGACAAATGCACAGTATATTGCATTTAGGATGAGGAAAGGAATCAAGCTACAAAAGTACAAAATGAAAGGACTCTGAAAGGGTATAAATATAACAAGCAAATATCTAAAAGTCTCAGGGAAGAACAACTTGAAAAAGAATGTGCTATATACATATTTATGCTGGTGCATATAAGATATTTATTAGGAAATTTTTTTCAGACAGTAGAAAGACATAAATATAATACTTCAATCACCTTGTCACAGTTGGAACTAAGAAGAAATATACTAGAATATAATAAATGTATTTCTCTTTAGTTTCCCTTTTTAAAAAGAGCTCAAAGTTATTAAATTGAATATAGAGGACATCGCAGAAAATGAATACATAACTGTAAAAATGTACTCCTAAAGAAAAGTTTAGTAAACATGGTATTTATTTTTGGAATTAGAAATATCAAGGGATAATTTCATAAGGATCAAGATTTTAATTTGTGGAAGATCATTGTACAGAGCTGTTTGGCATTTATATTGCAGGTGGAACAATGGGAAATAAGTTGAAGCCATTAATTTTTAAAAATCCCCCCAAATGTATATGTGCATATATATATATACACATACATATAAATGAGTGTGTTTGTATAAAGAGTCTGAAAGAGTATACATTAAGATATTAATAGTTATTGTTTCTATGTAAGAGGATTATGGGTATTTTTGTTTGTTTCTTACTGTGTCTTCTTCTAAACTATCTTACTAAACATACAATATTTGTGCGGTAAGAAAAATAAGTTATTTTTCTTTAGAAGTGTTTCTAAAAATAAATGATGATTCTCCTTCCTATCACATTCTCAACTCCTTATTTATTTATAAAACTTATTTTTCATAAGAAAATGAATAACAATACTGCTATCCTGTTTTATGTTTTTCAGATGCTAGTGAAAAATAACCACCTTTCAGACAAGATCATTGTTTTGCCAGGAAAAATTGAAGAAATCTCACTTCCTGAGGCTGTAGATGTGATCATTTCTGAACCAATGGGATACATGCTGTTCAATGAAAGGATGCTGGAGAGTTATCTGCATTCCAAAAAATGGCTAAAATCAAATGGTAAGTTGGCCAATATCTAGTTTAGAAAAGAGACTAACTTCTCTGCAAAAACTTGTCACCCTTTTCCTCCCATATTTGATTTCATACAGAAACGAAAAGAGAACATTTCTATTGCAATCAATTATTTGATTTCTTCATCTTACCTTTCCATAACAAATTAGCTACTCTCCCAACTATAAGAACTCAGATATTCTGCATAATATTCAATAAGAAGACAGGTCAGAGTTACATGATTTTGTCTTTGTTCTGTCCCTTTCTTTCTTAATGAACATGGGCTAACATTTGACCTTTTGACTTTGGTTTCCTCATCTAATAACATATTATTGTACATAATCTCTAAAGTCCTTTCAAGTGTTGGTTGGCCTTCTAGAATATGAGAAACTCTCTGGGTTTTGTCTGTTCTTTATGGCATTATGTTTTTTCCTATTGTATTTCTCTTTCCCTAGGATCACTAAACATAGTGGAGATAAAAATACACCCAACATACATTTTAAATAAATTATTTTTACAAAATCCTTACCAAGTATGAATAATAAAGGTTTTCGGTTTATTTGAGGGGTCAGCAAGCACTGAGGTTCTTGGCATTTTGCACCCTTCCTTAGGAGACGTTTTTGCTTGTCACAATGGTAGTAGGTGGTACTGAGATCTGGTGAATAATAGATAGGGGTGCAGCAAAACTGTCTTCAATGCACAGAACAGTCCCCTGCATCAAATAATTATCTAGGCCCAAATATCAATAGTGCAAGATTGAGACCTGAGTTAGTGGGAGGCACCATTATGACTCCCATTTTTTAAAGAAAAAACTGAGACTCATGAGAAAAAGTAACTTGGCAAGAACACACATCTAATAAGTGACAGGCAGGGATTTGAAAATAGGTCTATCTGACACTGAAGCCTACATTCACGACCACTGCGCACACACTAACTTTCAACTTTTCACTAGAGAGCATAGACATGTTCTGACAGCAGGTGTTCTCAATTAAGGCTTAGAAGGCAACTGGCTAATTTTAGAAGTTGCACCTTTCATAATAATCTCAGCTCCTTACCCCAATTTTATTTACTTTAAATTACCAATGTTGAAACTCTCTACTCTGATATTCAGTGAAGACAAAATAGTGAATAACAGTGCAATTCATACACACACAGCATGTAAGTGAAGTTTGAAGTTCATCTATAATTTCCTACATGCTTCAAAATTCAGAAATAGGCACTAAAAAAACTTCATATAAAAAAATATGATCTGGCATGGTGGCTCACACTTGTAATCTCAGCACTTTGGTAGGCCAAGGTGAGAGGATTGCTTGAACCCAGGAGTTCAAGATCAACCTAGGCAATATAGTGAGACCTCATCTCTCCAAAAATTAAAAATAAAAAAATTAGGTGGGCATGGTGGCATATGCCTATAGTCCCACCTACTTGAGAGGCTGAGGTGGGAGGATCACTGGAGCCCAGGAGTTCGAGGCTGTAGTACCCACTGCACTCCAGCCTGGGCCACAAAGTGACACCCTGACTCAAAATTATAGATAGATAGATAAATAGATAGATAGATAGATAGATGATAGATGATTCGATAGATGATAGATAGATAGATAGATAGATAGATAGATAGATAGATAGATAGATAGATGATAGATGTATGTCCAAGCAACGTATACTTCAGGTGAAAAACTTCTTTAGCAACCTTCTTGGAAAACAGCCAAGGATGATGTTGGAAGCCTTGTGTGTATGTGATAAAATTGAACTGCACAAGATGAAAGTGAAGGAATAAAGTGGCTCAGATTTCCTCTTCAATGCCCCAAGGAAGAATTTTTTTTCTAGAGAATTTCAGATAGTTAGGTGCTTTTGTATAGTGAGATTCTAAATATAGTTAATTAACATGCATCTGTTGAGCCCCTCTTAAGCTGAATATTTAGACTTCATATCTGGGCATTTTTTCCCTCCAGATATTTGAAATGGATATGACATTTTACACTGGGTTATATATCTTTAACTAGACAAGTAGAAATGAATACTGATTTTATCGGCTTTCTAGCCTGTGTGTTCCTGAGGGAAGAATGATTTTTTTTCTAATTATGTATATATTCCATCAAAATAAGAAACCATTTAAAACATCAAATAATAATTAAAAGGCTTATAATGAAAAATAGTAGGCTTCTGCCACACCTCTTCCTATCCTCATACTGCTCCCCAAAGGCAAATGCTTTCAACTCTATTTGTTGTTTCTTCTATTATTTACCTACATAATGCTATATAAAATTATGATGTTGCTATTCTCATCATTCTCTGCTTCAGAATGTAACTGTCCTGCATAGTGGCTCCTTCCTTTCTTGATGCACCCTCCCACTTCATCCTCACAATATATTTAGATAGGTCCTCAATCTTTTATCTAAACCCTTGGGGCCAGATGCATTTCAGAATTCAGAATCTGGAGGACTTTAGAAAGTTAATATGATCACATATACCATGTATTACTTAATGCCCCCAGTGGGATCTGAGGCAACACTCTATAATGAAACACATTAGATTCCTGCAACAAAACATTTGAATATTGATACCAAGTGGAATAGATCAAGACTACAAATAGAGTAGTGTAAGTTCAGGTCAGGTTTTGTCATCAAATGTTGCTGCTGCAAACTTAAAAAAATCGGTTGCATTTCAGCGCTGTCTGGATTTCAGAATTTAGGATAAGGACATGTAGTTCTAGCTCATCACATGGTCAAATCAAGAATCAATGGTTACATTATTATGATGTAATGTAATGTAACTATTGTTGAGTGCTATATCAATTGGTATCGTAGATGTTCTGTGCTTTTGTGTATTTTCTCCCATACTCTTGTTTTTCCTGGAGTTCATGGCCTTGAGTGGTTGTTGTTTTGGTTTTTTTTTTTTTGTTTTTCATTTGCTTAGTTTTCATATACTTCTGACTAAACATTTCTGTGCTCCAACAGATCTGACAGATGTCTATCAATATTTATTCCTCTGTTCTTCAATTCTATTCTGAAGTCCTCTGGCCTCCTCTAGCAATGGTGAACTGGCTGCTCTCCAGCCCCTTGTACATTGCCATGCTTTGTCTTTCCATCATCATTCTTTTCTCTCCTCCATGTTGGTTTACATAATTTCAGCAAAAACATATTCTCTAACAACTTCTAGAGAAATGGTGCTTAAGAAGTTACTTTTTATTGAGTCCTTGGATTATTCTTTGGTCAAGAATTTAACTCAAAAACAATTTTTATTGAGTATTTTTAAAGCTTTCCTTGGGGGATTTCTGGCTGCCAATCTTGCTATTGAGAAGTCCAGTGCCATTCTGACTCCTAATCCTTTAGTGTAACATAATTTTTCCCTCTAGATGCTTTTAGTATCTTTTCCTTATTTCTGATGTTCTTGGTATGAATCTTTTTTAATTCTTGTGCTAGAAATTCACTAAATATGTTTAAGTAGAAGACTCATTTTCTTCAGCTCTTGGAATTTTTCTTATATTTTACCTTTGATGATTCCTCCCCTTTGTTTAATCTGACATTCTTGGAATTCCTATTAGGTTGAGGCTCACAGTGTCATCCTCTGAAGCTTCCCAAGTTTACACAAGCAGCAGCGATACATATTACTTCTCTTCGGTTGTGTAATATCCTTCTTCTGAAACTGAAAAATCACCAAACAATCATTATTGTTTTGATGATACCAATGCCTGCCTGAGATTTAAGTAAGAACATATAAATCATGTTATACTCGTGCTTTGCTTCTGACTACTTCTGAAAATACCCTAAATCAATGGTCCCCAGCCTTTTGGGAATGAGGAACTGCTTTCATGGAAGACAAGTTGGAGGAGAGGGATATGCAGTCAACCCTCACTGATAATATTAATCTGTGTTTGCAGCCACTGCCCAGTGTTGGCATCACTGCCTCAGCTTCACCTCAGATCATCAGGAATTAAAATCTCATAAGAAGTATGCAACCTAGATCCCTTGCATGCACAGTTCACAATAGTGTTCACACTTCTATGAGAATCTAATGCCACCACTGATCTGACAGAATGCAGAGTTCAGGTGGTAATGCAGTGATGGACAGTGGCTGTAAATCCAGGAGTTTCACTCACTCACCCACTGCTCACCTCCTACTATGCGGCCAGTTCCTGATAGGTCACAGACTGGTACCAGTCCTGGTTCATGGCCTGAGGGCTGGGGACCCCTGCCCTAAATAAAACGATCTGTTTTGTTTCAACAGACATGGAGGGTCACGAAGTATGGGACACTGGCTGACTGTCAGTTGAGATTCCACTTTCTGGATTTTGCTCTTCTACTTTTTGGCTCTGTAATCTTGGCCAAATCACTTAAATTTCTCTGTTCCTTAGCTTTCTCATTTACAAGATAAGCATAATAATAGAACCCACTTTATGTTACTATGAGAATTGAATGAATGAATGCATGAAAAGTCCATAGAAAAGTACATAGCAGTTTTAACATAATCAATAAATTTTTAGCTATTACTGTTATTTTTATGACAGCATCATTGGTTTCTTAGGTCAGTCTCATTTCTGAAATAGAAGTAATAGCTTATCTTTCTTTCAAGTACAATTTAATAAGTGACTAGAAAAAAAGATCCCACCTGAAATAACAAGAGTAATAATGCTGACTGTCAGGCCTAACTGCTCAGAAAGGCTCTACTTCAGGCATGGCAGTTTAGGTGCTCATTCGCACCCTAAAGAATCTGCCTTTCAGAGTTGGGTGCGATGGCTCACACCTATAATCCCAGCACTTTGGGAGGCTGAGGTGAGAGGATTGCCTGAGTTCACAGGTTTGAGACCGGCCTGGGCAACTTGGTGAGACCTCATCTCTACAATAAATCAAAATATTAATCGGGCATGGTGGCGTGTGCCTGTAGTTCCAACTACTTGGAAGGCTGAGACAGAAGGATCCTCTGAGTCCAGCAGGTCGAGGCTGCGGTGGCTGTGAGCATGCCACTACACTCCAGCCTGGGCAACAGAGTGAGACTCCAACTCAAAAAAAAAAAGAATATGCCTTTCCTGTGGTGAATACAGATGCCAGGAACAAAGCATGTGTTTCCCAGCATGGAGAATGGTGAGCACTACCATAGCATTAATCCCAACAGCACCTAAGAAAGATAAATAGTTGGTCTAACTAGGCATGAATAAAGTCTCAAAATGAAAATAATAATGTGATGGGACAAGAGGATTTTGATTCTGCTTAAAGCTAAATTATTTTTATTATAGATAAGAGAATGAATGAAAATACCAGAGAATTAGAAGCACAGGACATACAGGATGGAGAAAGAAAAAAAAAGCCAGTAGCTGAGACAGCAACTATACCAGGTTTAACAGTCCACCTAAGACTCTGCAAGTTATCCTCACATAGTTTTGTGACTGACTTTGGTATTCTTTTCTATATCCCTCCAACTGTTTGCCTAATTTTAAAATTCTTGCTTTGAGACATTTTATCTTGTATGTCATAACTGAAATAAAATAATGGAATTGCTCTCAGGTGGCAGGTGAGTATAGCTTTCCGTCAGAAAGCAATAGAAGTCAACTTCTGGATCTGTTGTGTTTTGATCACTAGGAATGATGTTCCCGACATTCAGCGACATCCACTTGGCCCCCTTTTCTGATGAACAGCTCTATGTGGAACACTTCTCAAGAGCCAACTTTTGGTAATGTTCTCTTCTTTCTTCCTTCCCTATTCCTTCAAAGTAAACTAGAGTTTCTAACACTAATGAGATCTTGAGTTGGATAATGTGGGGGACTGTCCTGTACACTGTAGAATGTTTAAGCAGTATCCCTGGGTCTCTACCTACTAGATGCCAGGAATATCTTCCTCAAGAGCTGTGGCAACCATTAGATGTCTCCAGACATTGCCAAATGTCCTCCGGGGCGGGGGAGGGTAGAAATTACCCCCAGTTGAGAGCAACTACCCACAATTCAGAGACAGACAAGTCAGGGGATGCTCTTGCAATATCTACATCCAAAAGGCTACACTGCTGTAAAATCACAAAATTCTCTGCTGTCCCTCTTTCCACTTTTCACCATCCACTCCTCTGACTCAGGGCTATGATTTCTGTTAGAACTCACCTTTGAGTAAATATATCAATCAATATACCTCTATGTAAATGTGTTGATTAAATCTTTTTGGCACTTTAATTGGCTGTTGACTTTGGGGCCCACTTCACCTCTGAGACTCAGTTTCTTTATTTGTAAAATGGAAACTAATAAAAAACCATTGCCAATTCTCAACCACTGTTTCTTCTAAAATTCTTTTCTAAGAACTAGTTTTTATAAGGAGAAAGGGAGAAAGAGAATGATGGCATTAGACACATGGAAAGGAGAAAGAGAATAGATGCCATTGGTGTCAGAATGTTACATGTGTGGGAGGGAGCACAGGCATGTGCTGCATGCAGGGGGCGAGGGTAGATGCCCAAATTAGAGGCTTAAGTTTCGGTGGAGGCATACTGACCCTTCCAACACAGAGATGCCCAAAGTTGATTTCTGGGTTTTTTCTTTGTAATTCTAGTGAAGGGGCAGCAATTGGGAGCTGCTTTGGTTTCCTGGGTTACTGTGTTCTTTGAGGCGTGGGGGTCAAAGAGCTAAAATTTTTCCTTCTCCTTTTTGTTTCCTTGCAAAATAGACTTTCTTACCACAGATTCATAATGTTTCATGGTTTTGCTCAATCTGCAATTCTGAGAGTCCAGGCCCCAGACTTTCCAATGCGGGTGAATGGCTTCTTGGGGCATATGTGTGCCAGTTTGGGCAGGAGGAGAGAGAGCACTTACCTTCATAATGATCATCACTTTGTGGGGTTATGCTGACTCTAAATATATATATTTTATTTTTGGGTTGCCCGAACTAGAGTACAGTGGCACAATCACTTCTCAACGCAGCCTTGACCTCTTAGACTCAGGTGATCCTTTTGCCTCAGCCTCCCAAATAGCTGGGACTACAGGTATGCACCACCATACCCAGCTAATTTTTTATCTTTTTTAATACATTATTGTCAAGATTGTCCAGCCATGGTGGCTCAAACTTGTAACCCCAGCACTTTGGGGGGCCAAGGCAGGAGGATTGCTTGAGCCCAGAAGTTTGAAACCAGCCTTGGCAATGCAATAAGACACCATCTCTAGAAAAGATTAAAAATTGCATGAGTAAAAATTATATTATTATAATTCACTTATATTATAATTATATGCTGCCATTTTTCCATAAAAATTATATTATACTCATATAATTTTTTTTATCTTTTGTGGAGACAGTGTATATCTTGCTGTGTTGCCCAGGCTGATCTCAAACTTTGAAGCTCAAGCAATCCTCCTGTCTTGGTCCCCCAAAGTGCTGGGATTATAGGCTTGAGCTGCCATGCCCAGCCAAAATGTTTATATTTTAAATATGACCTCCTGAGTCAATGGAGAGGCTGAAGAATTGGGATTTTTAGGCAGCAGAGTGAATCAGACCAACAAACTAGAAGTTTGTTGTCCAGGTAGTCCTGTGTGGCCTCCCAACCATACCATCTGCTGCCATTTTCTACCTAGACGATATTAATGATCAGAGTAGTTTACTAAAGATCCTTGTAGCATACAAACATATTGCCATTTTTTCCATCTAAAACAGAAAAATAGAAGCAAAAACAAAAACCCATACCTCACTTTCCCAGTCAGCCATGCCCATCTCTCTAAGCCTCTTTGCAGCAAAATTCCTCAAAAGGGTTGTCTACACTCAGTCTTCAACTCCTCCCTTCAATTTCTTGCTAGAGCCATTTTTCTAAAACCATTTTTATTGAGGTCTCCAGTGCCCTGACCTCCACATTGCTGATTCCAGGGACCAGCTCTCACTTCTCAACTTACATCTTTTGTCCCACAATCTTTTATTTTCCTCCTGCCCTGCTGGTCACTTTTCCAACTAGTTCTTCCTTGCTGTCCCTTGTCTCCTTAAGGTCCTGATGTTGGAGTGCCCCAGAACACAGTGCTTGTATCTCTTCTCTGTGCACTGTTACTCCTTTGGTGAATTCACCCATTCTCATAGCTTCAAATCCTATCTATGGGCTGATGATTCCCAAGAGTATCTGTCCAGCCTAGACATGTCCTCCAAACTCCATATTTTCATAACTAGCAGCCTCCTGGACCTCTTGCAGAGACTTGTTGTGTACAAAATTCAACTCCCGGTCTCCTGACTCTCACCCTGCTCTACTCATAGTTGTTCTATCTAAATTGATGACGACTTAATGTTCCCAATCATTCAACTAAAAACCTTGAAGGCCTCTCTTTCTTTATTACCTAGATCCAAGAAATTTCCAACCAAGAAATCCTGTTGTTTCTTCTTTCGAATTATATCCAGAATCTGATCAGTTCTTGCTATATTCACTGTCCCTTCTTTATCTCAACACTGCCATCCCTCATCTAGATTTTTGCAGTTGCTTTTTTGCCTGTCTATTCTCAACAGAGCCATGCCTTATAGTAGCTCTACTCAGTGTGATTGCAGGTTAATCTCTAACCTCATATCCTGCTTCCATGTTCACTGCAGCCACACAGGCCTCCCTGCTGACCCTCAGACACTTCAAACATGCTCCTTAGAGCCATCACATTTGTGGATCCTCTTACCTGGAATACTTTTTCCTCGGTTTTCATATGGTCAATTTCTTCAACTCCATAAAGTCTTTGCCAAATGCCACCTTCTCGATGCAACCTCCCCTGACTATCCTGTTTTAAATCATACCCATACCATTCTCAATCAGCCCTTCTTTTCCTATTCTGTGTTTTTCCACCAGCACTTATTGACTCCTAAAAGATATATCTTCTTCTCTTTTCTTTGTTTTGTTTTGTTTTGTTTGAGACAAGGTCTCCCTCTGTTGCCCAGGCTGGAGTGCAGTAGCATGATTATGGCTCACCGCAGCCTCAAATTCCTGGACTGAAGCAATCCTCCCATTTTAGCCTCCTGAGTAGCTGGGACTACAGGTGGATGTCACTAGGCCTTGCTAATTTAAAAGCTTTTTTTTTTTTAGAGACAAGTTTCCACTATGTTGCCCAGGCTGGTCTTGAACTCTTGGCCTCAGGAATTCATCTGCCCTTGAACTCTCAAAGCACTGAGAGTACAGGTGTGAGCCACTACACCCAACCTATAATTCTTTTTTTATTATTATCTATTGTCTGTATTCCTCTTGATAGAACATAAGCACCACAAGGTTAGGAATTCTGTCAGTTTTCACTAATATATCCTAAACACTCAGAGCAGTGCCTGCCACATGGCAGGCTCTCAATAGATACTTTTGAATGTATATAGACCTCAATAAACTTAAGCATGTATAGAAATAGTTACTATAAGATTTTAGTTGTTATACCTAATTTTCCTATTATTTTTCTTTATAAAAATGGGATCATAAGTACCATTTTGTAGCTTGATTTTTTTCACTTTGACAATACTTTGTTGGCATATTCTCATATCATTAGCATATTCTTTTGCTCGAGCATATTTCTTTTGTATCTCATAATTTATTGACTCAAGCGCCAATGTTGAACATTAAATTATTTTAATTGCTGTTTTAATCCTATAGATTATATAAGACACAGCACTAAGATGTTTTAATATCCTATAAGAATACAGAATCTTATAAAATTCTATATTCTAAATTCAATAAGAGACAATAATAAAGTGAATCTCCTTTCAGAGAAATTTTGGTGTGCCTTCTAATTATTTCCATAGGATAAATTGCTAAAAGCAGAATTACTGGACCAAAAAGTGTGAAAAAGGAACTTATAAAAAAATTATTCTTATATATTGCCAAATTGCCCTCTAGAAAAGTTTTACCAATTAACACTTCCACCAGTGGTATTTGGGAATGTCTGCTGAGTCTTGCCCATACGGGATATGCTTTTTAAAATGCCAATTTGATTTGAAAAAAAAAAATGGTGGCCAGTTTATTTTTAATCTGTATTTCTTTGATAGCTGGTGCATTTGAATGGCTTTATTTTTAGTCAACAAACACAAAAATATTTTTAAAAATATATAGTTATCAAAATTCACAGTCTCTACTTTATAAAGAACTTTCTGCATTAGACTAGTACTGGCATTTGGGCCTTTTGCTTTGATCCATGGAACAGGTGGTGAAAGTTTGCATGATTTCTGTCATAAGAAGCAAAGAAGTGGAAATGTCACTGGGAGAGAGTGCAGAAAACGAGCTTGGGTGAGTTTGAAGGAGTGAACGGAGAGATTAAGAAACAACTAGCAAGCTCAGTAAGATCATCGGATATCATCAGCTATCAGTCCTCACCTGACTTTCCTGTCAGCAGCGCTTGACGGTTGACTCTCTCTTCACTTTTCTTTTCACTGACTCCTAAACCTGGTTTTTCTCCTGCCTTGCTGGCTTCTACTCCTCAGTCCCCTTTGCAGATTCTTCCTCACAATTAATCTTTAACACTGGAGTGATTCCACATTTCATTCTTAAATGTCTTCCCCTTTTTGTCAGCACTTACTTTCTTATGTGATCCCATTCAGAATCTTGGCTATAAATACTGTCTTTATGCCGACAACTTGCATGGCTAGAACCTCCGCCCGGACTTCTCCCCAGAACCACAGACTTGGATGTCCAACTGTCTGTTAACAACGCTACTTGGATGTCTATTGAGCATCTCAGATTTAACATGTCCAAAGGCAAGCTGCTGATCCTCAC